TCCACACGATTCATGAAACATACTATTAGTAATTAAATTTGGCAAAGTTAACGGTGAAATCAAACAAAATGAGTCAAAATTTACACTTTTAATAGTTCAATAGATAAAAATATACTATTAATAGTTGAATTGCCGAAACTCGACTATTTGAAAAGTTAAGTGGTCACTTGGGTAATTTGCTCATGATACAAGAGGTTGGATGCTTATTTCATTAGGATTAGATGTTGATAGGCTCACTGGTAGATAAAAGAAAAAGGGCGATAAAATAAATTGCATTATATTTACTTAAGATATCAAAATTATATCCTTCTGAAAAATAGATTTTACCTACTAAGCCTTTTACAAATATGCAAGGGTACCTCAAATATATATATTTAAATAAAAAATTTAGTTGGAGAAAGATGGGATTTAAGAAATTAGGATAGGAAATTGAACCAAAGATCTCCACTTCCTGAGTATCAACCTAAATTTTTAGACTATTTATTTTGAGGGAACAAAAGGGAATGGAAAGGAAAGGAAAGGAAAGGAAAGAAAAGAAAATGGAAGAATAAGGATTTTCGTATTTAGATTAAATTTTGAGCAAGAAAAGTAAAGGATAGGAAGGAAAAGGGAGGAATAAGGTCTAATTATTTTTCTTTTATAAAACCTACTTTCCATCTAAAAGATGCATAGAAACGATGGGAAAAAGAAACTAAGAAGAATAATTTTAAAATTTCTTAAAATACCTATATGTTTACAAATTAGGGATTTGTTTGGATGGTGTATTTTTTGGAGTTTGTTTAAAATTTTGTTATAGTTTATTATAGAATTTTTATGAAAATTTTTATACATTTAAATGTTTGGGGAACATTTGTAAAATTTCATTAACCATCACACGCTGTCCACCCTTGCCACTATATCCATAAACAACCACCATTACTCCCATTCCCTACCTACTACCGGTTTCCTTTTCTCTTCTCTCCACCACCATCCGCCACCCCTCCCTCTTCTTTCTCATTGCCCTCTGCCACCCTTCCTCTTTATCCCTCTTCTCCTATTCTTCTCTCCTCCCTTCCTCACCATCTATTATCCTTCTTCCCCATTGCTACACCATCCTTCTTCATGACCTAATTTGGTCACCATGAGGGAGAGAGATGAGGGGAAGCGCGGGTGGAATTTGGGGAATAAGGGGAGAAAAAAAGGAAAAGAAGGGGAAAGGGGCAAGGGATAGCGAGGAAAGGGCATAGAGGACGTGGGAGGGATAAGGAGGGGAGGGAAGGAAAAGGAAGAGAAGGATGACGATGGCAGGTGATGGGATGGTAGTGGGGAAAGGGCGTGGTGAATAAGGAGGAGGAAGGAAAGAGAGAGGAAGATGGCAGCGGCAGTGTAGACACCAAAATTTTATCAATTTATTTTTTAAGTTTTTTTTGTTTTATTTCTATTTCTTGGAAAAAAAATCACTTTGAAAAAATCGGAAAAAGAAAAGAAAAGAAAGAAAAGAAAAGTGAAAAAAGAAAGAAAAAACAAAAGAGGAAAATTGCAATTTTTGGAAAAAAAAAGGGAAAATTCACTGGATTTCTCCTCTTCTTCGTACGAAGAAGAGGAGCAACAGTACCAGGGATTTGCAGGCACCATTTCGTCCATTTTCCACTCATTTTCTTCCGTTTTTTTCCTCCATTCAATGACTCTAGTACAGGCCACTTGGCATTGATCCAAAACACCAAGAAATCTAGGATTAGAAGCCATCTAATGGCTTAAAATGGCCACAAAAAATGCAGCTCCAATCTCCTCCCTTAGTTCTAGGTTTTGGGGGGGATTTTGTAGCTATAAAAGGTCCTAAACGCAGCCAAGATGAAGGATTGAAAATAGGGTGACGGAAAAGGAAAAATAGAGAGAAAAGAGAGAAAAACAGAGGAAAAAGAAGAAAAAAAAAAGTGCAAAAATTTGCTGCAGAAAGGTGAGCCAGGGTTGGAGATTCAGGGAAATTCCATGCCATTTTTCGAACTCATCAGTGCTTATTTTGGGAATATTTATTTTTCTAGATAATCTGCGTTGGTAGTGGAGGAAGTTTCGTGTTGAAGTTTTTCAGAAAATACCACCACAACTCCTTCAAATCCGAGCCCAAAGTCCCCAGGTTCACACTCCTTCACCAAAGCCTGCAGCCTGTTTCTTTCAAATTTTGGTGAATTTCAACCCTCTCCCTATGGATTCCTACTGAGGTTTCGACTTCAAAGGCAGCAAAGGGGTAATTCCAAACCCTCTTCTTGTTCATTTCAACTCTTATGCGAAATCAAATCTTCTAAACCTGAGCGTTGGATTCTTGCTTATTTGCTTAGTTTGATATCTTGGCTATGCATGCTGCGTTTTTTGGTTAATCTTGGCTGCGTTTTAATAACTTTAATCTTTGCTTTTTGTTGCAAAAAAGGGAAGCAAGACATGTGAATGACTTGACTAGTGTTAGGTGTCCTTTAGTTGAGCAAGTTTGTTGCTTTTCGTTCTTTATTCTGGTTCCTGAAATCTGCTTCCTTCAACTGAAGTTGGGGAACTTTGTTAATGTTTTGGTGATTTTGCTAGGAGTTTGGAAAATATTTTGGCTGGATTTATTCATGTCTTGACTGTTTTCCTTTTATGATGCAACATTTTGTGTCAATCTTTGCTGTGTTTGATAAACCCAGAATGTTGCAGAAGATAGCTACGAAGAAGAAGAAAGCTCTTCGAACCATTTGCATGGTTTTTTCCAAAATTAGCATTTGACCCCCAAACTTTGAAGTATTTACACTAAGGCTCAAAAACTTATGCAAATGAACCATTTTGACCCCTTGTACCTTTTAATCATCTTTTTTATATTTTAAACACTAGGGGGGGAGGCCCGCGCAATGCGCGGGAGTGGGGTGCCTGTGGGTCGCGCAATGCGCACTCCATAATGCGCGTGGTGAGATCTATCTAACCTTCGTAAATAATAGTGAAGAGAGAAAAGATGGAAGTTGTAACTGAGAAGCCGTACGAAAATAATAGAGAACCACATCATAGTATTATAAAAAACCATAGCTTAGATCAGGATGTTTGAGTTCATGACCATACGGACAGGGATATAGGCCCAATGATAGTTTCAGATTTAGATTAAATGCTCAGTGGCTCCTTTTCTAAGAAGGTATAATAGACCACCTTACACTTAACCTAATTTGAAACAGTCTTATTTTAGATACTTCTATTTACATAGAACAGATAAAGGAAAAGTTCAGCCAAGTTTGTCCGTTAAAGTAGTAGTACTTAGGAATAATGAAGATCCATTCGCAAAGGATATAACTTCAAGGATGGGCTTTGGCAGTTTAGGTGCGGTGTTTCTTAGTGGGGTTGACTCTGAGTTTCATTGGGGCTGCTGCAACTGCTGCCTTTTTCTTCTTATCTTCTGTGTTAGAAGGACTGAGTTGATCCACTCCTTTGCTTTGTGTTTCTCCTTCCATTATGCTATCAACTTTTTCTATTGCCATATTTTCAGCCATGTCGGTAACATTCTTTTTGGAATGTTCTTCTTGTGCTGCTGCCCAAGTGGATGCTGTAGCTTTGTAGTTGGTGATATATTTGCTGATGACATAGTTTTCTTCTGCAGTAGCATTGTTGATATGGGCAACTATGGCATTGTACTTTTCTGAGCTCCTGGAACTGTGGATTGTATTTGATTTCTTGACCAAGCAAACTAAGTTTTTCTGCTTGATGAAATCTGCTATAGTGGCGTACTGGACATTTCCCTGTAGGAAGAATAGAGACTTTAAGTATTTATTTGAAGTGAGCAGAATGTTGCAAAGTAGTTTTGAGTTCGAATGTACCTGCTGCTCTTGCTTTTGGATGTCACTTATGCAGAATGGGAGGAGTTGTTCAGCATCATCACCACTCAGGTCAAGAGTTATAGCACCACTCATATCACTAATTTGCACTGTTAGTCTGCAGCTGTTTTTGGGTTCATGTTATTAGAAGCTTTTTTGGCAGCAGGGGTTGTTAATATTAGATTAAGGTATATGTTTACCGTGGAGTGAGACGGATGCGCTGGTAGCATGAAGTGCAGGTGATCTCGCAATCTGGCCTTGCTCTGATGTATTTGTAGCAGTGGGGGCATGAATGGTACCATAGCTTTTGACTTCTATCTAGAAGTTTTGGTATGCCTCTAATCCAATAGGGCCTTGCCTGCAATGAATGAGCATTGTATTATTACAAAGGCTCGGACAAGTATACCAAGTTTGCTAATAGTAATAGAAGTCAAAGTAGATAATCAATTTTGTAGCACTGTTAACCTATTGTGTTAAGCCATTTGTTAACATCTAGTACGCCAGGCAAGAATTGTATTAGGCCCAGAAGACCCTCTTATAAAAGATAATGCAAAGCATATGATTCTTGAATTTCACATGGGCGAGAGTTTCATAATAAAACTATAGAATCCATCAAGCAATTAAAAAGAATTAAAAAGCTTTACGCTACAGTGAGGTTCACAAGAGAGAAAGTACAATTTGACAAGTAAGATAATGAGTAGGGGAAAAAATGGTAATTACGCAGTAGCATTAAAACACGAAATTCCACCTACAAAGTCACAGAGATGCAAAAATACGAAGAAATGGGACAAACAAGTAAATAAAAAATTACTGGGTAAAATGGGAAAACAGGAGCTACTAATTTCATTAACGAGGACAAAATTACTGGATGAAAGCCCGTATATCCGGAAAAACCAAATGAAAGGGAGCATTAATTAGTTCTACAAAAACGTACAGATACAATGAAAACTAAACTGAAGACATTTTTGCCCAAAACATTCAAATCTCATTACCAATCAATCAGGAGAGTAGGGAATGGTAGTTCAAGCTTGTAGTCAGTATAATCCAATTCGATAACCCACAAGCCAATTTTGTAATGGAAGAGACTACAGACTTTTTGGCTGTTGGCATGCATGCAGAAATAAAGGATTGTGAGTGAGTTGTATATGTACCTCAACCACAGCTGTGAGATCGCTGATAGTTATAACTCTGTCATCATCTGGTACAGGTAGGAGTTTGAGACGATCACCATAAGTCCGCTCAGCAATGAAACGCGTGATTTCCTCTTGATTGTGACTGCACCTAATATTTTATTTGTTGTAATGTAAAGGATAGTAAGCCTTTTTGGTAATGAATGTTGAATAATTTATAATGTAACTATTTTAAAGTAAAGTTACCAGTTACGCAGGTCATTGGCTTGCTGAATTGGAGGATTGATTAGTATGCTGCTGGAGAATTTGGTGGATAGATGCATGGCTACAAAGTTGACAATAGCAACATAAGTTTTTCCTTTTCTGGTTTCAGTCAACTTAGGATTTTTGTAAATGGTTTTTAAAAGAGTACGTACCATGGTAAGATGTCACTCGGACTCGAAGCGCTGCAACCACAGGTTGGGTGTGGATCATATCAGCTATGTCTTGTCCCTCTTCTGATTCATGCTCTCCCCAAAGGGTCAGTACCATTGGGTGCGACATGTGATCTGTAAGAATGATATCCCTAGTTGGTGTTCCACCTCTGATTGCTTTCGGGTGCACGTGAATTGCTATTCCAATAAGATCTAATAACCAGAGTTTGATATTAAAAAGTGTAACTATGACTATGTAAATTATATGTTAAGGTAAATCAGGAATGGTACCTATTTCATCAGTTGTGTCAATGTGCTGATAAACTGAATCGTAGTCAGCAAAGTTAAACACATTAGGTATCAGAGGGGGGTCCACTTCATCGATTTCTTGGACAAGCGTGGAGTTGTCAATGGTCCATGAGCACTCATTTGGGTACGTACTGTACCTTGGCAACACATTTTGAATCCTAGCATTCGATACATAATATCTTCGATATGGTTCAAAGTACTTCCTGAAGAACATTATATCTCCAGCATAAATTAGAGCTTGAGCAGTTTGACCCTGTAATTTTGAATACAGTAAGTGCTATGGTAATTAATTAGTTGTGTATAGTGCCAAAGTATGCAATGATAAGCTATATTACCTGACTATCAACAAACACCAACTTTTGGTAGCGTTTTCCATTTCTTGAAACCTGAACCTTTTGCTTTTCAATCACTTGAACAATGGCAGTCCAGTTGTCCATGAGAGGTTGGAGTTCTGTGAAGTTTACCAGGTTGCTTTCCATTTTTTGACGTTTGAAGAGTGCTGCAGACAACTACCACAAAATCGAAGGATTCCAAAGACAAGAGTTACACTCCGAAGTAGTAAGTTCATAGAATTTAAATATAATATATTACTAAGACATTTACTGGTACTTTATTTGCTATTTACATATAACAGAGTACTGGAATTATTGACAAGATAGCTGCAATACATCCTTGTAAACTATATTAGGAGTCACATAATCTAAACTTGAATCATATACAGGAGGTGTGATCAAAATTTTAACAGATTTGCTATTTTTAGCTCTAGATAATGCAACATACAGCTGCCCATGTGAAAAAACAGGTTCTCGCAAATAAATGCCAACATAATCTAAAGTTTGCCCTTGAGCTTTATTAATGGTCATTGCAAAACAAAGTCTTATAGGAAATTGCATTCGTTCAAAAGATATAGGAGAATTAGGGTCATTTTCAACACGAAAGCAAATTCTATGTAGAAATACTTGCTTCCCAGCAAATTCACCAGAACTTATGACTGCATCTATAATATTGTGTTTAAGTGATTTGCATAGAAGTCTTGTTCCATTACATAGACCTTCTGGTGGGTCAATGTTTCTCAACAACATTATTGGTGCATTTTCTTTCAATGTCAATCGATGTGGAGGAAAACCATTTGGAGTGTGGCTATTCATGAAGTCCTCTAAAATTGCTTGCTGCGAATTATCTAAACATTTATCTCTGCTTAAATAGTCAAATGGGGTTCCGGGAAATTCCTGTATCAATTTTTCATTGATCTGATCTACAAAATCATTTTTTGTAGTTAAAATTGCTCTATTAATTAATGAGTATGTATTTTCAGAAAATATGTTGAAGTTTGGATAGACAGTTGTAATCAATTGATTTATGGATTCTGCTTCATTTGTATAGCGAAGAAGCAATGCTTGAGAGATGTGAATACTTTCATTTTTAACTGTGTTTTCTGTTCCATTACCTATACGAAGAAGGTACTTGCTAAAATCAGGATCTAATCTTGCTCTCATGTTTTCCTTCAATTTTAATTTCTGCAGATGAGGCCAAATATAAGATTTTACAAGGCTAGCTTCGATAAAGTCTGATTTTGACCCTTTTACAACTACCGGCAGAACTTGCCTAAAATCACCACCAAATACCATCACTTTTGACCCAAATAATTCAGAGTTATCCATTAGGTCTCTAAGTAAACGATCTACTCCCTCAATTCCTGCTCTATGTGTCATAGGCGCTTCATCCCAAATGATCAATTTGGCTTGCTGTAATAACTTTGCCAATGAGCTTTGTTTGCTTACTTTGCACATGTTGTTAGGATTCATGTCTAAAGGAATTTTAAATCGTGAGTGGGCTGTTCTACCTCCAGGTAAGATAGAAGCAGCTACTCCACAAGAGGCCGTTGCCAAAGCTATACATCCCTTTGATCTAACTGCAGCTAGTAGTGCACGGTACAAGAATGTTTTCCCTGTTCCCCCAGGCCCATCAATAAAGAAACTTCCTTTGCTGTGTATAAAAACAGCATCTATGATAGTATCAAATGCTACTTTTTGATCCTCATTTAATTTAGAGATAGCAGCAATATCTTCTTCATTGACTTTAAAGTTTAGCTCAGAATTTGTGTCTCTTGTACCTCTATCCATTTCATCAAACTTTAAGATTCGTGGTACTAATCCATACATATTAATGTTTTTTCCCATTGATTCTAAGAACTTGCTAATCTCATAGAGAACTTTATGTTGGACCTGATCGTTTGACAAATTCAAAGTTCTATTGAAATCTTCTGACATAGATTCTTTGAATTTTAACCATAAACTTCTTGGATCAGCAGGAGTGAAGTAAACTAATAGGGTAGCAAATAGTCTTCTAAAGCTATATGGCATGTGGTATAAAGCTGCTTCTTCTAGGCACTGCTCTTGAGGGTTATTGGATTCAAATAATCCTCTCATTATTGCTGCTTCTCTAAAGGTATTAACATAAACACCATCGACAGTTTTCAGGTCATCAAATGATGTTGGCCCTTTTACATTCAATAACAATAATCTTAAGAAGTACCTCTCACCCTCACTTGGATTTGCTGTAACAATTCGGCCTATTGAACCTCTTTGTTGCCTAATATCCCATATGCGTTTACCAGGTTTCCACACAAAATGTTCAGGAAATTCTTTGTATGTGCATTTCAATGTTTTGGCTCTCTCATCAGTAGCATTCATATGGAAAAATTCAGTTAGCATACTTTTCTTAGCAAATTTACTTTTCAAAAGATCTCTAAGATCAGCATCATCTTTGAAGGTCAGAGATTGGTAATTTTCAAGATGTAGCTGAAGGTTAATGACAGCAGGATGTGTTTCAAATAAGGGAAATCTGTAAATTCGCCAAATGGCTTCAATAGGAGAAACCCATCTTGCTGATTGGTACTCCTTAATTTCATCTATCTCTTTAGATCTGTCATCTGAATTCACAGCAAAGTGTATTTTATCATGTCCCTTATATATGTACTTATAAGTATACTTGACTACCTTTATTGTTGAGCAAATTTCAACATTCATATGGCAATTGAATTTTGCTAACAAGTAAGGATTATATGGAACTACCCATCTATTATCCAATTCATGGCCTCGAACTTTTACCTTTTCTCCATTGCTCCTCCGCCTATATGTTGGATAAGAATTTTCAGATTGTGTAGTTTTTTCTGCCCACTGTTTAGGATAATGATTTTTGCATTTTTTAACTGTTGTACCTTGCATACACACATTATCTGCATTTTTGTCGCCACAAGGACCATGCATCATGTGCTTGCGAACCATTTTAAACAAGTGTGGATGCTCTTTTTTGTCTGGAATCTCAGCAGAAACTATGTGATCATAGGATTCCGTTGAATATAATTTAGACGCTGGGTGTAAAATTATTAAGAAATGTGCATGCGGCAACCCACGTTTTTGGAATTCAACAACATAGGTGTAAGCAGCTACTTTACCCAATACCTCTTTTTTAAACAACTCTTCTTTTAAAATTTCTAATTTGGCATGAAAAACTCTAGCAGAAAGATCAACACGGTTTTGAGACTCATCAGTGGGCAGTAAGTTTTCTTTTATTTCTGGCCATGATGGGTTACAAGTCATTGTTAAAAAAATGTCAGGTTTTCCGAATTTTTGAACTAAGGCCATAGCATCAACATACCTTCTTTTCATATCACGAGGACCTCCTATAAAAGATGCTGGCAAAATTACTCGTTGCCCTACTTTTGAACCTCTACATTGGCCCTCAACTACAGAATCCATGACACCCTGTAATTGCTCAGTCCTAATTTGTTGTTGCCTATGCCGGAAAAAATCAAGCCTTTGACTCTCAATTTTTACGTACATGTCCACTACATACTGTTGAAATGCACGGGCAGTATTAAGAATACTTGGTTTATTTTTCTCCCTCATCTGGAACCTATATGCATAGTATTCACGCATGGACACATTCTCCTTTGAATTCTCAAAGTTTTTGAAAGCTGTTTCAAAAAATTTTAAGCTTCAATTTACATTTGGTAAACTAAAATTGTATTCATAAAATTTGTATTATATTTAAAAACAACTAACCTTTCTCTTCTGATTCTATTATATCTTCGGCAGATCTGAAGCTTGTTAAAGTTGCAGTCTGTTGATGATTTCTAACTGACCTTTTCCTTTTTTTTGGATTACCAGTGCCAGATCTCTGAATTCCAGGTTGCCACCCTGTTTCGCCAAAGGGAAATAGAAGTGGATACTGCAATGGATCATAACAGCCATAGTAATATTGAATTCTACGGCTTTGACCCTCTTTTGTGTATACTTGAATGTGTCTAGCATAGCTGTCCTGTGAGTTTTCACCTTCAACCCACAGTGCAGCTACTTGGGATACTGTTGGCTTGTTAAAGACTCGCTGATCAGTTTGACAGTAAGATTTCAGGACTATTTGATAATTGTTCAAGTCTGGAACATGTCTCAGGCTTCGGAAAAAGCAGGCATAAGGGTTACTTTTCATGAGTTCCATGAGTTTCACCACTATGCTCTCAGTTAGTTTTGTTGAAAAAGCCAATCGATTTGCGATTTCATGTTCAGTATCATGAAAGTATAACTGCAAAAACATTCCCGATCCTCCATGGGGAATCAATTGATTTATAAAATGATACGTTTGGCCCTGAATTTTGAAAGTATATATTCCGTTTCTTCTTTGGCAAAGCGATTTATCATAGTTAACTCCAAAAGAGGTGAAAGCGAACATACTATTGTATGTTCTTACATAGGTTCTGAAACAAATTGCTTCTTCAGTTTCACCAGTAAATAGCTCTATTAATATGTCTGGCATTTTATTCTCTTCTAAGACTACTTCTCCATCAGAGCAACAAAAGTTTGCAGACTCAGAATAAAATTTTTTGGCTCCGCAGTACTTGCAATTCTGTTGCTCTGGTAATCTATCAGCTTCCAAGCTTATCGAAGATAATGCCTCAATTCCCGTCACCACCCTTTTATGTTGTTTGCGTACATTGTTTTGTTTCCTAATCGAAGCATTTTGGTCTTCCCCACAGCTTTTAACTACATGAATGGATCAAAAATGTCATTAATATGATTTTTAATATGTTGAAGTTTTACAACTTGTTTTATTATGTAGAAGGAATAAACCTGAATTCTGTTTACACCTTCGTCTTGACATATGTTTAGCTTCTCTTGAACGTTTAGGTTCAACTGAATATCCTATTTATGCAATGGTGATCAGTTTTTGTCAATGGGATCGCCACTGTTATATGATCAACAATGGTGATCAGTTTGTTAGCTAACCTGTTAGATCCTCCATTGCTTCAGAAAGCAAGCTATAGCAAGAGTTGCAGATGGGTGGTTGGTCTACAATATTGGCAAATAAGGTGATCACTTTTAGCTAGTAGCTAGGGAGAAATCTCGGTTGGTAATGTTTGTTTCAAGAGGAAAGAATAATTAAACTTAGCAGTAGGAAACAATAACTAAACCTGAAGATTGGGTCGCTTTAGAATGCTGACACTTTTTTATCCGTCGAGCTGTAGAAGTAGAACCTATACATTTTCCACAGGATGTTAACTAACATATTTTGTAGGTCTCTTTTAATATATCTTTGGATATTTGTGAATTAAAAATGTTTTTAATTCTATGTGGTTCACCTTTGTGATATGTTGAAAATTCTGAAACATGCTCCTTCTGCCTTCGATTACCTTCAACTTTGTCTCCAGGAACTAAATAGATTGTGAAAATGTTATGCCTATATGACATCACAATAGCCTAAAGGAAAAGGGATTACAAAAATAACCTGCCTCACTGTGGTGCTTATGACCACAGTTAGGTTCCTGAATGCGAAAAGCCTGCTGTAACAGTTGCTTATTACTGGTGTGCTCATCATCTGAGCATAGAGATACAGGCAAAGGTAGTTTAGTTTACAGCCATACTTGTTGGGAGTTATTATAGAGGTAGGTGGGCATCTAAATATTCACTATAATGTAGTATATACAGCGCGATACCTTTTCCTCTCAATACTAACGAGGAGGTAAAAGTAGTCTTTGTCTTTTCTTTTTTACTTTTATAGGTATCACGGCGTTTTTTCCGTTGGATTTCTTTCTGCTCCTCAGTTAAAGAGGCATATCTTTGTCTAGCCTTTTCGTTACGTCGAGCTTTTCGGTCGAACATTTTAGAAGGATCAATGTTTCGATTCATAGTGGGTTGCTATGGAAATGTTGGGTCAACTAACAAAAGTGGTTGGAACTTGAGGTTTACACAAACTTGAACAATTCGAATGAATCCTAAGACACAAGAATGAATCCTAAGACACAAGCTTATTTGTAGTATACTTCAGCACAGATTCAGCCTACAAATATTAACCACTTTTTGCTACCGAATGAACTGCAGCTCTTTTAAAATAAGGAACAACTACAATACTAATTGCTTATGCTTTCATGTATATACACATGTCATGAAATCTATGAGCGATGAAAGAGCAAAAGATTTTTTAACTGTACTACATAATACTCAAATCCAATGTAAACAAAAGAAGATTGCCAAACAAGCATAAATTGTAAACTAACGGAGATTTCCAAGCAGGCATGAATTCAATGATAAACACAGTCCACAAAATCATTTTTAAAAAAAACAAAACAGCTATTCCAGCAAGTTTGGAGAAAGGTCGAAAATGAACTAACCTTTTTTAAAAAGAAACCGATAAAACTTGATCTTGATGAGAAGAGTTTGAGCCTGCATGACAAAAAAAATAATTAACTTGGTATGAAAGGCCGGAATTAATAAACGGACGAAGGATGCAGATGAGAACAAACACATCAGGTCTAAGAAAGCATGGTAATTCTTTTTTTGAAAGCAAAAGCCAAAATCAAATGGGTAAAATTACTTGTATACGAATCTCACCTCAATTCCAAGGAAATTCCATATCGGCGACCAAACATATCACAGAGAAACAGCTATATGTAGCAACAGATTTAACACCAACCAATCATAGAAGGAAAGGAGAGAAACGGAAGAAGATGGAAGGCTATGCGTCTAGCAAATGCGGAAGGAGGAGGAAAGCCATAGGTGGAAAACGTGGGGGAGCTAATACTTCATCTGGTGGCTGTTTAATAATTAGAGCCATTAAGAGGAATAAAGTGGAAGAAGAAGCAAATAAGCGGAAATCAAACCTAATCAGCCAAGGAATTAAAGAAGCCCAACATAATAAGAGGAACAGAAACTGACATGGGTGGCAAACATGGAGAAATTAAGAGACCGTTTAACAGAGGGAGGTGAAACTGGTGGAAGTTGAATTAAAAACCTCTCATAATAGTCACCAATAATCAAAGGGGCTTCGGTGAAATTTGCAAAGGGGCAAATGAGAAAACGGTTTTGGGTGGCAGAGGAAGAGAAACAGGGGTCTGACCATTTAATGTTAGATTTGATTACTGAGGTCCCTTATTCAGTGCCTATTCAGTGCTGTGTAATTAAGCTTAGCACCGGCCACTTCAGGATTGGCATACGAAGGATTATACTGGTGCATTTTATTTAGGAATTAGTATTCTACATATGGGCTCATTTGGTAATATGAGCCCCTAAGCAATTAAGAAAGGGACCCATCAAAATAATAAGAGGAGAGCAGACTACAATGGGTGATAACGTTGCAAGCATCATGGATAAAATAGTCATATTAACACCAATCATTGCATTAACAACTTGTACAATATCAGCTCAACATCTCTACCTTGTCCAGTTGTCCACTCAATTGACAACGATATCCAAAAAGGGCGGTTGAAACTTAAAGCTTTCTTGCACAACGAAGATTTTCTTATATATGTATAGGATGTTTTTGGGTAGATTAATTTTGGACTTTAGGACATAATTAGGGTTTGATAATTTTTAGTTTTTAGTTAATCTTGTTGGGTTTTAATAAAATAAGATGAGAGCTGGTTTAGGATTATTTGGTTGGGTATGGCAGATGGGTCTTGGTTATTTTTGGGTTTTTCGGATGGGCTTGAGAGGGTCAAACCCACTCCCTTTGGTTGGGTTTGATTGCTGAAAGATGGGCTGGCCTGATTGTTTATTTGACTTTAGGTTGGGCTTAGGAATTCTTGGCCCAATGAAATTAAAAGAAATGGCCCAAAGTCCTTTTTATCAACAATCTGGTAACGTAAATTGCATTCCAATCCCTGGATTTTTGAGTTGTTTTACTGTGGCCTTAAAAACTTCAGATGTCTTTCAATTAGGTCCCTAATTTAATTACAATTTGGTCTCTAAACTTTATTTTTCTTTAATTTTGAACCCTAATCTTTGTAAGAATTATAATTTGACCTCAAAAACTTTCTTAAATTTTGCAATTAGATCCCTAATAGTTTTGATTTCTTAAATACAAGTTGTCTTTCTTCTTTAATTGTTAATTATCATTTAAGCGCTTTACTTGGTAGATTTCATGATTATTTTCATTTCTTTATAATTAAATTGGTGTCTTGATCATTTTGTTGATTTTGAAGCATAAGTAGGGCAAATTTCACCCTCATTTAACCAGACTTCAAGGGAGGTAACCTCTTTTATTATTTTAAATTCTTTTATGTGCTCCAATGTGTTTTTTATGTGTAATTGCATGTTTTGAGTGCTTATTCCTTTAATTATTCATTTTTATTCATTTTAGGTTTCATTTAGTTTATTTAATTTTGATGATTATTTGAGAGGCATTAAAATGTCAAATTGTAATAGATAGAGGGTCAAAACATGTATTTAGTTAGCCTATGTAATAGATATGATTTAATTTTTGTTAAAAATATATTTAGTTAGATAAATGTAATAATTAGTTTATTATTTTTTAAATTCCCTCTTAGATTGTAATTAGGGCCCTGAATGTGAAGTCCTTCTAACTACTGTGAAGAGCTTTGACGACCACCCAAGTGTAAAGGAAAAAAGACGGGCGTAGGGTTTCTGTTTTGGCTTGTTGGCCATGGCGGCCTCCACGCCGCCTGGACACCAGATTGTGGATCCCTCCGCTGCCAATTCTGCTCAAGCGCCCAGGAGCTTTGTAGCGGCTGTCTGTTCTGCCCGGCCAGATGCGGGTGCGGAGGTTGGAGTAGTCTCTTCCTTTCGAGGAGAGCCTGCACTGCGGATGATCGGAGGGGACATGCTGCGCCTGGCGGAACCTTTTCGCCATGCGCTGGTAGGGAGATTCGGAGTACGCCGACCCTCCATGGATCTCATACGTAAGTTTTTCGTATCCTTGGGCTTGAAAGGCTCCTGCTCTGTGGGTCTGTTGGACCCAAATCATGCGCCCTACCCTTCAAGAAGATTACACGAGACTGTTTTTGCGTCGGCTCTGGTATATCAATGGTTCGCCCATGACAGTCTCAAAGTGGTCGCTGGACTTCAGAGCAAACCAGGAGATTGCTGTGGCCCCTGTCTAGGTCACTTTCCCAGAGCTTCCCATCCCTTTCTTCCACAAGACGCAACTCTCCAAACTTGCATCGACGTTGGGAAGGCTGCTGCGAATTGCCGCGGCAACGACGGATCTGCGGTGCCGTCAGTGGCCAGGGTTCTGGTCGAACTAGACGTCTCCAGGCCGCCACCCAAGCGCATATGGATCGGAGATGAGGATTTTGGCTTTTGGCAACCAGTGGAGTTTGAGGGGTGGCCGGCCTTCTGCACTTTCTGCAATAGATTTGGACATGTGGAGGCGGAGCGCTATATAAAAAACCCATCCCTGCGTCCCCCTAAGCCTTTGTCCGCTGTGGCCCAGCCGGTGCCAGCCCAGTCCAACCGTCAAGTGTTTGTCCCCAAACTGGCCAAATCACACGACAGTGGCATTTCTCAGAACGTTGCCGCTAGGGAGGCCATGGCCGTACCTCCTTTGCCCCTGCGGGACGCGGTGCTTCCTCACGGGCAGAACCAGACTCCAGGGATTGCAACCCAACCGCAGATGGAGACCCAAGCGAATGAGGCAATGCATGACAACATGGCAGCTGTGGCGCTTGAACTTCCTGCACAGGATTGCCGGCAGGAACCTTCTCACGAGGTGGAGCAGCATCGAGTGTCGGAAGCCCAGCATTCCCCACAGGCATGTCCGTCGCCAATGCCAGTGCCCCTTCAAGCGTTGGTAGCAGAGCAGGAGGGAAAAAGGAGCGGCACGGGCAATCGCTTTGAAGTCCTTAGTACGCTAGGGGAAAGCTGTGGGTTGGCTGGGACGTTAGAGGCTGATCGCGCCTCCCCATCCCCAACGTCTTCTCATCCGCAGGGAGAAGCATGGGGACGTCGGATGTCGTCCGGGAGTCTAGGAGAGACACACGTGACATTGGAGGAGTTACAATTTTTTCACCAAGAGATAGCCACCCAGGCGGGGCTTCCTTCTAATTCTGGAGAGGAGGCCAAACATGACATGAAGGACATCCAAGGTGCGAACCTCAAGAGGAAGGTGGGCAGACCTAAGGGCAAACGCACGCAAGTGTCAGCTTCGTCTCAAGCTAAGTATCCCCTTCGTTCCTATGATAAATCCAATTAATTTCATTGTTTGGAATATACGGGGCGCTTCGCGCTCTGACTCTATTAAGCATTTACATAAACTCTGCAAGAACCATAAGATTTCCTTGGTTTTTCTTCTGGAGCCCATGGCTGAAGTTAAGCAATTAGACACGGTCCGTAGAAGGCTTAAGCTGGACCACGAGACCTCGTTCTTAAACGGCAAGGTGTGGTGTTTATGGAGCGGGACTTTTAAGATCTCTTTTCAAGAGGGTGCGGAGCAGGTTGTGCATGGTAGACTCACGTTCCAGTCAGGCGAGACTATTTCTATTTCGGCGGTCTATGCTAAGTGCACTAGAGTGGGGAGACGACCCATCTGGAGTTGCTTAAAGGATTTCAGTATGGGGAGGAGTGAGCCGTGGATTATAGCTGGGGACTTCAATGTGATAGCATCCTCGGAAGAGCGGAGAGGGGGGCGTCCAGCTAATGACAATAACATGGACGAGTTCAATTCATCCATGTTTGCGTGCGGGCTTTCCCCGGTTGACTTTGATGGGTGTCCCTTTACTTGGACGAATGGCACGGTTTGGCAGCGTTTGGACATGGCTCTCATTAATGCCCGGTGGGCGGCAGAATACCCAGTCACAAGAGTCTCTCACCTTCCTCGTGGTCGGTCCGATCATGCGCCACTCTTGATCAAAGCGGGGTCGGGGGCGTCAGTTCGGCCTTCTTTTAGGTATCTAAACATGTGGCATCGACACCTCACATTCCGGGAAACGGTATCAACAGTCTGGCAAGGGTCGGGGTCAGGAGTCGGGATGCACCTTTTCCACTCCAAGTTGTCGTCCCTTCGAACTCAGCTAAGAAAGTGGAACAAGGAGGAGTTCAAGAATATATTTGCTCGAGTTCAGTCAGCAGAGGATACATACAAACAACGGGAGGCGGAATTCGACTCAAGAGGAGACGTTTCCTCAAAGACCCGTTTACATGAGGCAAGGGCCATGTATCTAAGAGAATTGTCAGTGGAATGCGAGTTCTGGCATCAAAAGGCAGCGCTTCGGTGGATCAAGAAGAGGGATGCGAACACCTTCTTCTTCCAATCCGTGGTCAAACAGAGGAGAAACGCTAACTATGTCACGCGGATTAAAGATGAAATTCTGGGCTAGATTCAGGACACGAGCGACATACAAGATTCAGCAGTATGGTTTTTCTCAGCATTATTCCAATCCAGTGGGTTTATCCCTCCTCCCACTCTGCCCCTAGAGTTGCCTAGAGTTGCGGCGGAAGAGGACGCGGGGTTGCGGCATTTACCGGACCTGGAGGAGATCCGAACAGTGGTTTTCTCTATGGATGCAAGTAGTGCTCCGGGGCCGAACGGGTTCGGGGCGGGCTTCTTTCAACAGTGCTGGGAGATTATCAAAGATGATCTACTTGGGGCAGTGCAGGTGACGGGTTTTTACTTTAAGTGCAAGTTTAATTCCAAATTATACCCGTTTTACTGCAAGTATACAGGCCAAAATCGTAATATTGGGTATGTATCGGGTCGATCCCACGAGGAGCAATTAAAACAATTATTAGATACTAATTTACTCTATTATCTAGACTCACAATAAATTTGAGCAGAAATTTCAGAATTTAATCCAACTACAAAAATTCTTAACTAGATAAATGCAAATTCACAAAAGGAGTAGAATTCACTAAATATTAAGATCTAGGGATGTAGATTTCACTTATGACACAAAAGATCTAAAATGAATGAATTTAACACTTGTTACAACTCTTGTTTAATCAAGGATTCATTTTCAACAATACCAAAATCACATTCTCATGATAATAATGGGTTAAAACAAATTAGTTTTTCCTAATCTCTTGGAAAATACTAAATCTGTCTTGTGCATACCTGAAATATAGATTTTATCCACTTGAATGTATTTCTATTCTCATGAATATACTACTCAAGCTCTACTTATGTCATTCCATTATTTTTACCATTTCTCAATGAGTAAAAATAACTATAAACCTGCTGTTGGTGATCAAGCAACAACAAGTAATCCAACACACACAAGTAGATAAGTTAATACAAGACATAACAAGTATAAATCACAATCACTTCATATCATTTGGCAATAAGCTTCATCTACTCCCTAGATAAAGGAAATTAGCTACTCATGAATGATGAAACACTCATAACTTTATTAATGTAAATCATCATGAATTACAAATACAAAAAGAGTAAAGAAAGTCTTAGCCAAGATATGGTGAAGCCTTCCAAAAATCTCCTTTGTCTTGAACTTAGATGATTACAAGATGAAACCTCAATTGCCCCTTGCAAGTACCTAGCTAGAGAGACTATGCTTTTTAGTGAGAATACTAGCTACGTCTAGATGTCCAGACCTCCCTCAATGTCTCTGCATAAAAACTACTCAAAGGCTCTATTTTTCCAAGTCAAATTCTAACCTTTGATTCCCAAATCTCCACTTTGTTAGCATAGTCAAAAACCAATATTTTTGACTTGAAAATAAGCTACTTTTCTTGCCCTTTTGTCTTCTGAAGCATGTGCACCGAATTCCCTTGCATCTTATAGTTGGAAAGTGGTATGAATACAAGAGAAATGGCTGAGTCAAATTGCAGAATTTCGGCTATAAAACGCGCTACACAAAACGCGGCATCAACTCGCGTTTTGTATACTCGCGTTTTCATTCTGACCTTATTTCAACTGCGATTTTCTCCATGATAAAGGCCAAACTAGCTTTTGTGCAAAACACAAAAGTTTTATCTCTTTGAGTTAGCTTTCCAATGCTTCAAGAATCATCTAAATCGGAGCTTTGTAGCCTGAGATATGATCGAAATACTATCACCTGGTCAAACTTCTGTTTTAACTTCCGACCACAGAATGCAGCTTCTGTATTCTGACTTTTTGTCCATAAAAATGGCAGAATTGGATTTCGATGTCTTCATACGAATTGTAGATCTCTTTCTTAGCTTTAAAATGGTATAAAGATCACCTCAATCCGATAAGTGTAGCTCCAGATATGGTCGAAATACCGAAGAGTGTCAAAACTGACTTGTATTGCATTTCCTCACTTGAACGTTTTTCACTTCATTCTTCTTGTTACCACTTGAATTCATCACCAATTATCTACTTTTCACCTCATTTGACATCCATTGGTGATTGAATCATCATTCCTGCATAAAAATGAAGTTTTTACCATTAAAATCACTAAAAATGTAATATTATCCACTTTTACCAAAAATATATAATTTTACCAAAAACCTCTTTATTTTATTTATAAAACTAAATAATCAACTCAAAATTAACTAATAAAATGCACTTAAAAATACGTAAAATAAACTCTTATCAGCAGGATTTTTTTAAGGGAATGCAGCAGCCCAGGGGCTTCTCCAGTGCGTTACTTGTACTGATCCCAAAGACGGAGCGGGCATGCCAGTGGAAGGACTTCAGGCCAATTAGCCTTTGTAACATGAGTTCCAAGATCATATCGAAGATACTGGCAAATCGGCTGGGGGGTCTACTACCCAAACTCATTTCGCCGTGACAAACGGGGTTTGTTCCAGGAAGGGGCATTATGGATAATATCTTGCTGGCTCAGGAGCTAGTGATGGAGTTGGATAGGAAACTAGCCCACCCGAATTTGGTGCTCAAGCTCGATATGGAGAAAGCGTATAACAGAGTGGAATGGCCTTTCCTTCTTTTTATGCTTAGGAGTTTTGGATCTTCAGAGGTCACTGTAGATCTCCTATTCAGGACCTTATCTAACTCGTGATTTTCGATTTTGGTCAATGGCCAACCTACTAGCTTTTATAAGTCTAGTAGGGGGGTGCATCAGGGGGATCCTTTGTCGCCTGTGCTCTTTTTGTTTGTAGCAGAGTTCCTAGGGCGGGGTCTCCAACAGCTTGGACTTTACCATAAGGACAGAAGGTTTGTGTCTGCTGGTGCCACGGTTCCCTACCTGGCTTTTACTGATGACACAATCATCTTCACTTGGTGCTCGGAACCGTCCCTGATAGTACTGCATGAGTTTCTCCTTCTCTATCAAAAACATTCCGGGCAGAAGGTAAATGCGGGGAAGAGCACTCTCCTTACACCCGCTCGCATGTTGGAGGATCACATTAGGTTGGTGGAGGCTACCTTGGGTTTTCATAGACAATCTTTTCCAGTAAAATATCTAGGGGTTCCCCTGGTCCGTGGAAGGATGGGCACCATAGTTTTCGATCCCCTACTGGCTAAGCTACGAGCACGCCTATTCCATTAGAGTTCTAAACTTCTGAGTACGGGAGGTAAGATTGTCCTCATTCGGCACGTGCTCGGCTTGATTCCTCTGTATCTGCTTCAGGCAATTTGCCATCCCAAAACCGTGGTGACGGCCCTAGGCAGGATCTGCAACTCATTTCTCTGGGATTCAAATGTTGATTCAAAGAGGATGCACTGGGCGACGTGGGAGAAGTTATGTTTTCCTGTTCAAGAAGGGGGTCTGGGGTTTCGCTCTTTTTTTGAGTCGGCAAAGGCCTTCGCCTGCAAGTCGTGGTGGCAGTTACGCAGAAATGATTCGATATGGGCTGGGTATATGCACAGTAAGTACATTAAGGACTCCCACCCGTCAATCGCTGTGGTGGATCATCCCCCGGCGTCATGGCGACGACTGTTAGCAGTCCGAGATTTTGATGAGAGACGCGAATTCGTTGGTGCTTAGGAAAGGGACTAGTCGACTTCTGTACGATACCTGGTATGGTGATCTCCCTCTAGCGCTAGTGGTGGGGGTCACCAATCCCCCTCATGCCCTGGTGGCAGAGTTCTACACAGCTCATGGCTGGAATGTTCCTCGGCTCAAGGAGTGGGTGCCAAACTTTGTGGTGCAGCGGATCACTAGCATTCCTTTCTTCCTTGAACAGGATGATGCCATGGTTTGGGTACCATCACACAACGGTGATTTCTCTGTGGCTTTCGCATGGGAGGATATCCGTCAAAGACGTCATACATCGTGGATTGATCGCTATGTATGGGGGCCGATCGTGCCCTTACGAGTTTCCTTTTTTGCATGGCGTCTAGTGCGCCATTGGATCCCTCTTGACAGTGTGCGTAGAGTAAGGGGGTTACATTATGTTCCAGGTGTAGTTGTTGCCGCCGGGCTCATGAGACTGTCATTCACTTGTTCCTGCACTGCATTGTGGTTAGGACGGTGTGGGACCACTTTCTCAAAGTGTTCGGTCTTCTCCCGTTTACCGTGCACAGCGTGCCTGCTATGTTGTCCCATTGGTTCTTCTCTCACTCCAAAGTGTCAACAACACATGTGCGGGTCCTGGTCCCTTTGTTGGTTCTCTGGTTTATTTGGAAGAGCAGAAACTCAGCAAGATTTGAAGCAGCTTCGGCCAATCCGGCCCAAGTGATCTTCCGGATCGAGTAGTTTTTGGATCAGATGGGTACGTCTCATGCATTCTCTAGGACCTTCTTTGCAGGGGATCGGGACTGTCCATGGGCAAGGTTTGGAGGCCCCTTTAGGCGGGATAAAGATGTTGCCCCCGTTGCTTGGAAAAAGTCACCACCGGGGTGGCTCAAGCTTAACACTGATGCCAGTGTCCTACACGGCAGGGCATCTGGGGGAGGGGTCCTGCGTGACCACTGTGGGAAGGTGTGTTTCGCCTATTATAAGGAGTTCGGAGAGTTAGATATGTTGGAAGCGGAGACGCAATCACTCCTGCATGGTCTCCAGTTATGTGCAGATCGCGAGGTGAGGGCGTTGACGGTAGAGTCAGACTCAAAGGCGCTTGTTCAACTAGTTTGCTCGGATATGGGGTCCAAGTGACCGGTGTATATCGTACTGCGAGAAATCAGACATTTGGTCCAGCGGATGGGTGCATCCCTTCACCATGTCTTTCGTGAGGCCAATTCGGTGGCGGATGCATTGGCTTCTCTGCAATTGGGAGGGCAGCGCGTCTACGTCTCAGACGCGGCCCTGCCTCTCAGGGTCAGAGGAGAGGCTCTTCTGGATCGTCACGGAGTACCTCGGCTTCGTGAGGTGCTCATTTAGGGTTTGATTGGCTATGCCCTCGCTTACTCCAGTCTTTGTTCTATTTTTTATTCTTGTAACTCTCCCGTTTGTGAATAAAATTTAGGGTTGGCTACCCTCCCCCATTGGGGTTTCGCCAAAAAAAAAAAAGGGCCCTAAATGTAATAGTTAGGCTTTTATTTGCATTTATTTGCTTGTGTGTTTACGTGTTTACTCGCTTTCATTAAGGTTTTGCATCTAAAAATTATGCTTATGTGTTATGTGCTTTATGTGCATTATGTGTGTAATTGTTTTAATTATACTTTATATGATTTATTTAGTTATAATAAATGCATGACGTCACCGCACTAGTCCAACGCTAGTTGTGGCTTTTCTTCTCGATTTCTCACTAGCCAATGTTTGTGAAGACTTGTAGAAATGGGTTAGTCCAATACTAGATCCTCCAGGCTGTCTCGCGATAGTATCACATTTTTTGCGTGACATTTATCGCATTTCATACATGTTTTTTATTTTTAGGGTCTTTTCTCATATTGCATGATATTTTCTCTGTATATTATCTCCCTTACCCCTATGTGCGCGAAACATGTCATTTAGACTTGCATTTCATTTAGGAAATAGAAATAGGTTAGTCCATTTGTTTGATTAGGTTAGGAGAGTCACCCTTCAAATATGGGAAATGAACAAGTGTGGCTTCTTAGCCTTAGCACTCTCTTGTCCCTCTCTATAAGAAGGAAAAATTGAAGTCATGAATTTAAGTCTTCTGTGAGAACTCGAAAGTTTATATGTACACTTTGAACTTATTTCATTTAATCTGTTGTTAGAAATAGTATGTGTAACAAATGAATGGTTAAATTAAATCCATAATTGAATTCCTATAAAATTTAAAATTGAGGTTGAATTTTAGATTTAGTAAAATAGATGAAATAATGTTAAAGACTAAATTAACCTAGAGTACAGGAATAATGAGAATTTAGGAAATATTCTAGAATGATACAGAAAAATTTTACGAATTGAATAAATATATGATGTGCATATCGTAAATTGTGATTAATTGCGAATGTTACTAGACACGTATTATACACTAGAAATTTAACAAGTACATGTCTAATGAGGTTTTCTTAAAGTTAAATGTGTCAAAACCAATGTAAGAAAATTTTCCCGAAAATACGAATGAAGTAGGAGTTCATACATGAAATCATAAAATTTAGGCTTTAGAGAGTAATTAAACTACAACTAAAAGACCAAACTAACCTTAAAAGTCTAGACTAATTACCATGCGGCCATCACACAAATTATCAGAATTTAGAAACCAACCAAGAGAAAGGAATACATTTCATTGAACCGAATGCTAACTGCTAAATTCCAAGTGGTGGGAGGTTAGGATTTAACTGAGATTGGAGCGGTGAGTTGAGACAGCTGCCAGGAAGGGAATGCATCACCAAATTGCTAAATAAGCCGTGACAGATAGAGAGCAACTTAAAAGAAAAAAAACTGGGCGGTGGCCGAAAGGAAACAATCTGATCTCCTTAATCAATAAGGCCGAGAGAAAACCAGAAGAATATAACTACTTATTACTTTGCTTATTATTACCATGAGATAAACCAGAGAGAGAGCCGAGGGAGTTGAGAAGAAAAGTTGTCTTCCTATCTTGTTTTTCTTCCTAAAGCAGACTCGAGTGAGGAAAAAGAAAGTGCAAGCTCCACTATCAGCTAACTAAGAAACTATACCAACGAAGGCAAAAGGGAACAGGGAGGTCGAGTGAGGAGTTGGAATAGCAATCGAAGCAGTCTGCAACATTTAAACCTATGAGGAAGAGGTAAATGCTATAACCACTTTCTGTTTAGTTGGTTTAATCCATTAAACATGAGCTATATATGTTGAGTTAGCTAAGAAATTAGTTCTGGTGCGAGAAACGTATGCAGAAATTATGAAATTGCAGCAACTAGAAGTTGTAACTGTTTTAATATCTTAGGATGATAACGTTGAGAATCTACCATAACCTTATGCTTATTTGGCACAAATGAGTATATATACAAGCTGCATGTTAGTTTTAGCAAGGCATAATGAGTTTTAACAGAGGAGAAATCTGATAAAGGAGAAAAAGATGAGAACTGGACAGAAATAGAGGGAACCGAGAGTTGTTGAGTTGCAGCCCATAAACAAAGAAAATTTTCTGTAAAAACCTCTTAGTTATTCAGTACACTTGAATATTAAGGTTGCATGTTGGATTGTAGCTAAGAAAAGCTAAGTTTGGTTGAAGGAAATAGTTGGAAGTTTCTGCTATGCTGGCCGAAGGAGGAAAGATAGAAATGTCCAAGTTTCTTTATATATTTTGGTTCTAAACTCCTACGTTGAAGCTTAGTTCTTTGCATAATATTTTAGTTTCGGCATGCATGTTAGATTTGGGTATGAAATGAAGTAGTTAATGGAGGAATTTCTTGCTAAAAGATTGATTGCTGTCCGAAGCTTTCTATCAAGGCCGAGAGAGAGAGAGAGTTAAACCTTTGATCAGTTTTTCCTTCAAACTCCTCTCTGTAAACTTTCACATCTGATATCTAAAGTTACTCGGTAGTTTAATACTTGTATTTGGCATGATGAGCTGGAGTTAAAACTGAAGGAGTTATGGTAAAAATGTTGCATATTAAACTGCGGCACTGCTGGAAGCTTTAGTTGTCCAATGTCTTAGCTGATGTCAGATTGTTATGCGTGGCTGTTGGGTTGAGTAATCTGTTGAAACTAGATGCTCTTCGTCTTGGTTTATGCTGGACTGAATGTACTTTAAATATTTAGAGCTTTAAGCAAGTGAAAGAATAGCGTTTTTGCCGAAAGCTTGAAGTAACGTTATTAGTTTTGGTTGCTGTCCAAGAAATGGAACAGATTGTGCTTCTGATCGACCCATTTTGGCCTTGAAAACGTGACAACTAGGTATCGATGTTTTCATAAGAAATGTAGGTCTATATTTTAGCTTCGAAACACTATAAAATTTGCCTCAATCCGATAAGTGTAGCTCTAGTTATGATCGAAATACCAGAGGATGGCAAAGCTGCCTTTCTCGTTGCCTTTCATTTTGTTTCCGAATGCACTTGCTAAGATGCTAGCCATGAGGAACTAGTTTTAACCAGCATTTCTTCTAATTTCCAACCCGTAAGCTTTCATAAATGATAGCTACGATTGTTCTGAGAATTAACGACTATACCTAGTTCCATAAGTAGAGTTAAACTAAGACGATTGAGTGAAAAACTCACGATAGTTATATACGTAAAGTGGCCTCTAATTATTTAATATTGTCTTCACAAATATTTTAAAGGCTATAAAATTTGAGAGGCTAGTGTAGTGAAATAAAATTTAAAGTGCACACAACTTAGACCTTGGCTTGTTAAAAGGAGAACCAATAGAGTATCTATAAGCCATAATTAATATTGGATTAAGAAAGTATATTGGTTTGAACGGTTATACAAGTTTATAAACTTGAAGATAGGTTTGTTTCATGGATTAAAAATAATAAAGTCAATAAGTTTCGAAAATAAAAGAATGAATAAATATGAAGAATGTTAAATTTGTATTTCAAGGTCAAACTTGATTTTAATAGTTTAAATAATAATGTAAGAATGATAAATGATCATCTACGGATTATATAGTTACATTGAAATTATTAACTTGTCCCAGGAAATAGCTGTGAGCCAGGAAACAAACCCGACGCTCGAGAGTAAATTATTTGGATAATTAGTGAGTGTTCCTTGTTTGTTATATTTTCCTTGACTACATGGCTTATTGTGAATATTTGATAATGTGTTAAGTGCTCTCAATGATTGCCAAAAGAGTTTTCTAGGCGAGTGTGTACTTTATCGCACTCGACCTAAATGATTGTGACATTTTCAATGATTGAACGATTGAAACGTTACTTGTGCATGAATGTAAGCCTTTTGGCTGAATTGGACCCTGCTCTTCGTTACCGATCGACTCAAGCCAGAAGCGGACTCGGTCGGGCGATATGGTGACCCTGGGTGAATGTTTGGTATACTCGAGTATTACCTTGAAGTCTGGTGGAGTCTGGCCAACGTCCAGGAGGGGGTGAATGAAATGAATGAACGAATGTCAATGCGAATGAGGGGTTTTACTTACAAAAATGCATTTTCAAATGATTGGAAGAATAAGGGAATGAAAGGAGAATGAATGAATGAACGAATGGCTCCTCGTGAGCACGTATCCTTTTAATGAATGTATTATTGCTTTATACTGTAAATGTTACTTGAATTATTGGTTATCTATGGTTAATGTATTGAGTTCATTGTTTGATTATGTGATTGGAATCTCACTGAACTTTTAACTCATCCCTTTAGTTTTGTTTTCCTTAGCAGGGGAAGGCAAGCAAGGACGAGAGTTCTGTATAGACTAGTTTAGTTTAGATCTTTGAATTTTGTAATGGTTCTCGCCCTAGCGTTGGCACGGGCTGGATGTACGAAGAATTGAGAACCTTTGTACTCTTGAATTTGTACTCCCTTTCGAGATAGAAATGCATATAAGTTTCACGTTAAGTTTTGGATTTCGGACTTGCTTTATTTCGATTTTTTTTTGTGGTTTTATTTCGGATTTGCTTGAAGTATGACTGAGTCCCGGCGAGAGTTGGGCAGGCGGTCCGCCGAACCCTTTGGTTCGCCTTAGGGGGAGGTGGGGCTGTCACATCTTCCGTACTCATTATGTTGCATTCCTCTCCTTTAGGTCACGTATATTTATATATTATAATTCTTCTTTTTCTTTGAGTCTCATCTTTGCATATTCGTGACTTCTTCTAAGAA